ATATTATATATATATATATATATATTAAAAAAGGATAGAAATTTTTTTTTTTTTTCTCTAAAATTTTCATTTTTTTTTCAATGTGAATATAAACCTTATTCATTTTCATTAGGCCCTTTATAAAACATAAAAATATAAATAAAATATATAGAAGTTTATATAATATTTTATAATATTAATACGAATAAAAAAAAATATATCATTATCTTAGTTAAGATATAATAAGTAAGATGAATATATATTATTATTATTATTATTATATATTTTTTCTTTCTTTATAAGAATATATAATATATTAAAAGTTAAAAAGAAGTAATATATTTTTTTGTCATCATTATATACATAAAATATATATATATATATATATAATATATTATATTATATAAATATGGCATTTTATTTATGTATATATTATTTATATATTATTTAAGATTGAATACTTCAAACAAAATTATATTATTTAAAATGAGGTATAATAAATCTTTTTATATCTATATAATAATATATTGTATATTTATAAATACAGTATAAAGGGGTAAGGAAAAATATATAAAAAAAAAAAAAAAAAAAAAAAAAATTATAACAAAATCATACGTATAAAAAAAATATATCTATTCAAAAATAATCACATAAATTTATATATATATTATATATATATAAATATATATTATAATTATGTGCTGGAAGAATATTCTTCTTAGTACTGTTATATTAATATGTTTATTATTATTATCATAACTTTTTTTTAAAAAAATATTATTATATATACTATTGTAAAGAAGAAGAAAAATATATATATTTTATTTTTTACATTATTACGTATGAGTATAAAAAATACAATGTTAATAATAATATTATACTTTTTTTAAAATATTTATTTATATACATATAAATATATGTATATGTAATATATATATTATTATATAAATTATATTATTAATATTATATATATATTATAATATAAAAAAAATAGCATATATTATTATTACATTTTTAATAATATTTACTTTTTAAAATATAAAAAGAATATGTGAAATTTTAAAAAATGCAATTTAAAAAAAAAAAATATACTTAAAAATTTAAAAAAAAAAAAAAAAAAAAAATGAATATGTAATAATAAATATATAATTTATATATATACATATCTTTTATTATATATATTTTTTTAATTTCTTTTTTCTTTTTTTATTCTTTTTTTTTATATTTTTCCCCTCCTTTTTTTTCGTTTTTTCTTTTTTTTTTTTTTTAATCTTTTTTTAAATGTATATTTTATTTGTTTTTTTTTATATAAAATACAAAAAGTACTTTAAATGTTTTTATAAAAAATATATTTTTTAATACTTTAGTCTTTCCATTCTCATAATATAAATATATAAATATATATATATATATAATATGTATATTATATTTTAATATAATATTTATAAATAGCACAATCCTTTTTACATATATATTATATTATATATATATATATATATATATATATATATGTATATTCTTATTTTTATTTTCCTTATCCATATATATATATATATATAATCATAATAGATATATAAAATATATTTGTATAAAATATATAAAAATAAAATATTCTTTTATAATTTTTAGATAAAGCTATTTTTCTAAATAATATATTAATAAAAAATATTGAGGCCACATATACGTAATAAATATATACGTGTATATTAACACATATATAAAATATATATATATATATATATATATATATATTTATATATATTTATATATATTTATATTTTATATTTACATATTATAATATAGCATTTTTATGTTTCCAAGATGAATTTAACAACAAAGAATATTGTTTGCGTATCGATGTTTTCATCGATAAACGCCTTGTATATATTACTATATATTTTTAATCATACGTTTTTACAAGTATTATGTACTTTAAGTATTATGATATTATTATTAAGCGGATTGCTTGTGTTTTTACAAGTACATAAGATATCAGACTATAAGGAGAATGATAAATTAGAAATTGTATCTAAAGAAATGATAGAAAGTTGTGTTATGTATTTATATGATATGATAAATGATAAATTAACATTGATACGCAAATATTTATTATGGGATAATACTATGGATAATGTCACCTTGATTATTGTAATATATTGTGTTGGAAATTTTTTCTCTTTTGTTAATTTCAGTGTTCTTTTTTATATATTGACATGGGTTGTATTTCTTTATAATTATGTTAATGATGTCTATATAACCAAAGCATACAAATATATTCAACCATATTATTCGGATTTAAAAGCACATGGAAAATATGTATTTGACAACATTCCAAAATTGAAACATATCAAGAAAACACTCTAAAGGAGTAATCATTAATAAAAATGTATTTATATGAATATATCAGAAGAAATGTATATGTATCTCGTTATATGTATGTTCATATGTATTAAGTACCCCATGTAGAAATAGCCACCTATGTATATATAATATATAATATATATATATATATATATATATAGGTTTAACTTTTTGTTTATGTGTCTTTATATTTTTATATTTTTTATATTTCCGGATAAATATATTTTTTTTTTTTTTTTATTTACAAAAAGTGAAATTTATGAAGTGGTATTTTATGCAATTATGGGTATGTACACGTACATATACATACACACACCAAAAAAAAAACAAAAAAAAAAATAAAAAAAGAAAAATATAATTTTCAAAGGAGGGTTATATATTAAATGTATTTGAATAGATCATCTATTTTTTTTTTTTTTTTTTTTATGAAGTATCCTTAAAATATATATATTTGTAATTTCTTACAATATATGCAAAGTCTATTTTGAGGAAGACCATAAAAAAAAAAAAATATAAAAAATAAGAAGGAATGAACGTTAGTATATAAACAAATAAATACATATAATACTATATAATAATAATTTACTGTGTATATATATATATCTTTTGTTTTCTTTCATTATATATATATATATATATATATATATATATATATATATATTTATATATTTATAATTTTTTTTTTCCTAAAATGTAATTAGTGTTTTATATCTATATATTATAAAAAAAATTTCTATGTTTATATATATTTGCTAATTTTTTTTTTTTTTTATATATTTTTTTTTTTTATTTTATATCTATCCTTTTAATAAATGAAGTTGATATATTAATTCATCGATTACATTGAAAGTAGTATAACTTAAAACTTAAAAGAAAAAAAAAAAAGACCAAAGCAAAAGAAAAATTATGAATAAAACATTGTTTTCATTTTAATATAAATAAATATAAATATATATATATATTATATATATGTTGTATAATAATATAAAATTGATATTTTGTATGTTCAACTTTATGAGAAATATGTACAGGTTATTTATAGTAAAAAAAAAAAAAAAAAAAAAAAGAAAAAAAAAAATATTAAATAAGGTATACATGTCGAATTCTATATTTTTAACTTTTATATTGAGAAAATAATATATATATGTAATTAAAAAAATATAATGATAAATAAATATTAGGAACTCTTGTTTTTGTTTTTTCTCCTTTTTCTATAATTTTATATTATTTATAATGTTATAGATACATATATATATAAATATATATATATATAATAAGATGGATATTAAATATATGTATTCCTCAAAAGTATTTCAAAAAAATATATATGTTTATATACATATTATTTTAAATGTTGTCCAAAAAATATATATATTTTTTAATTTATCTATTGTGAATTTATGCTTTATTTTATTTTTTTTTTTTACTTTTTAAAAATATACATTCATATTTATTAATAAAATATACATATAATATATTTTTTTTTTTTTTATTATATGTAAATAATATATATATATAATATATATATATATATATATATATATATATATATATATATATATAATATTATATACATATTGAAAAATTGTTTTAATGTGCCTTTTATTAAAAATAAATATATAATAGAAAAAAATAACAAAATAAAAAATAACAATTTGGTTTTCTAATAATATTAATATGTTATATTATATTAAATATATTATATATATATATATATATATATATATATATATAATATATTATAATGATATTTATTTTATTTTATAACAGTTAATAATTGTTCAAGTCCTTTTTTTAAATATATCTTTTATGCATTTTTTATTATACAAATATTATAAAATAATGGAAAAGAAAAATATATAAATAAAAGAAGAAAAGAATAAATAAAAATGAAACAAGAACAAAAAAATATATAAAAAAAAATAAAAAAAATATATGAAAAGTATATGAAATATATAAACAAAGATATATCAAAAAAATAACAAAAAAATAACAAAAAAATAACAAAAAAATAACAAAAAAATAACAAAAAAATAACAAAAAAATAACAAAAAAATAACAAATTAACGCATAAGAAAAATACAGATAATTTATATTTATATGAAACGATTATATTTATTTAAATATCGAAGGAAAATATTTATGAATCTTCAAAAAGAAGAAGAAAAAATAATATAACTTTTAACATTTTTTTAGAAATAACATTTTGAATATAAAAAAATTAAAATGTATATGTTATATATTCTTAATAAATATTAATTTTATTATACATTATAAAAGTAAAAATAATGAAATATTTGAATGAATAATTTCTCCTTATTTTATATATTCGAAAATGGTAATATGAAAAAAGAAAATACACCATACTTAAATATTATTATATTTGTTCTTTTGATAAAAGAAATATAAATAAATAAATATATATATATATATATATATATATATATATATATATATATATATATAATATATATAACTTTTATTATTTTATGCCGATATGTGTAATTAAATATATATAAAACATAGTACAGACAAAAAAAATGAAGGCATGCAAATATGTAAAATAAAATATATTTATATATAAAATATGAATAAATATAAATGTATACTAAATAAATAGATATATATATATATGTATATTTTATTTTTTTATTTTATCTTAACATATATATATATATATATATATATGTGTGTGTGTGTGTTTATATGTTTATATTTTCATCATATTACATTGTAAGAAATATAACTAGCAGTAGAATACAAATGATATAATAATGCATTAGATGATGAGGTAATTATGTATAAAAAGAATGGAAAATCGAGAATGCGAAATAAGAATATTTAACGGGACTAGTTGTTGTTTTTATAGATATATGCATTCAGTAAAACATGGAGTATGGTTAATTAATCCTCCCGAAAGTTTAAAAAGTAAAGGGGAAGAAAAATGTATAGCTAAATTTACGAAAACTATGGGTAATTTTTATGGTATATTACAATATTGTGTAGTTATAAATAGTGAAGAATATATTTTGAATGCTCGTTTTGATATACCATTGTTAGGTGATAATACAGCTACATCGATTATTGGTTTGAATATAAAGAATGAAGATAAACAAATATTATCACAACAGAATTATTTTTTAGTAAAGTATAGTTTTGACAATACATATAACAGTAAATTTTATATTAATATTGTTGAAACTGAAGAAGGGCATAGATTTATTGAATACCATAAGAAGAAATTAAAGAAAAGTCTTCTTCGTGTATTACACATACGAACATTAGAAGAAAAAGAAAAATTACGTAAAGAAAATATGAATAATAATTTAAGAATAAACAACTACACGAATATGAGTAGTAATAATAATAATGATAATACTAATAATAATAATTATTATAATAATGAAGATAATTTAATAAATGATAAATTAATACATAATTATCATCGTGATAATGATATATTAGATATATTACCATTAAGTTTTATTATTAATATAAAAAATTATGAATGGAAAAAAAGACTTCGAAAAGCACATAAATCATTATATATAATAATTATAAATTTTACTAGACAAACATTAAATTTAACAGATAGTAAAGGTATGAAATCTGTTGAATTAAATGAAGGTAATTGGATTGAATTACCAAATGAGAAAATATCTTCTTTACGTTCATGTGAATTTGGATGTAATAGTGATGGTATGTTTTCTAGTATCAGTGGTTTTTGTAAATATAATTTTATGAACGAATCATGTTATCTAAATATATTATGGGATATAAATAGTGTTAATTCGAAAATAAAATGTAATATTAAAAATAGTAGTAAATATACAATTATAAAAAATGTAGAATTATATAATGAATGTACTGCTGTTTTTCATATACTAGAATATTATTATTATCCTCCAATAAAAATATTAGAATGCAGAGCTTTAACAAATAATGTTATTAATAAATATAATATAAATAAAGATAATATTGATAAAAATATTAATTCTATATATCAATGTAGTATTAATGTTATCAGACAGTTTTGTCAATATCTTCTTAATAATAATACATCTCAAGAAAATAATTCAAATGATGAAGATTTGATGAATTCATCAAATTTGCAAAAAAAATTTGTATATAATGATGACGAAGATGATTTAAAATATATAAATAATATCTCTTCTTTTCCAAAGATTAATAAAAATGCAATTTCTGTTTATTCAAATAAAGAGAATGAAATAATTCGTAGTAAAAAAAAAAAAAAACAGAAGAGTCCTTATTATAATAATAGGAAAGGAGATATTACTTCTGAAGATATTTATAAAAAAGGGAAAAAAAATATATATAACATGGAATATGATAATGATATTGATAATAAAGATTGTTATTATTTTAATGAGGAAGAAAATGAAGAATTAGAGGAAGATGGAGATTTTTTAAATATCGATCATTTAAAAAGTAGTACTATACAAGAAAAGAATTTAGAAATTTTAAAAAAAAGAAAAGCATGTTCAAACAATATGAATATTAATAGAAAGAACATATTTACGAATATTAATATAACTTGTGGACGTGATTTTTTTTGTTATATGCATGGGAATAATTATTCTAATAACATACCTATAAATTCATATTTATATATATGTTGGAACATAGGAAATATTATATATAGAAATTTATATAATTCAAGTGAAAATATAATAATAAATGCTCATAGTTTGTTAAGTAGTCATAATATTAATGATGATGTTATATTAAAATTGAAAATAGATGAAAATAATAGAAGGCTTTATCCATCAAATTTAATACATAGTTTATTAATGAATACTGAAAGTAATATATATATAAATAATGAATATGTAATATTAGATATAATTTTAAGTATATTCCATATTATATCAACTAATTTATCACCTACTATTGAAAAAATTTTAGATTCAGAATACGGTACTAGATGGATTATGGATAGTAAAATACCAAAAAGTAATATATGGGAAAAATCAAAAGGAAAAAATGAATTAGACATTGAAGGAATTATACATATCATTACAACCTTCTGGATAGATATATTTGAAAAGCGTATTAAAAATTTGGAAATTATTCAAAATTTACAAAAAGCATCTATTTTTTGGTCAAATCAAGAAATAGATCAATTTGATCAAGATTTTGTCAAAAAATTAATAGAAAGTTCTTCTTTGCTTTTAAAGCTCTTCGGAGATTATAACACAGCAAAGAGTATTGAAAAGTTGTATTACAATAAGTATTCCATTTTTAATGACTTTTGCGTTGACTAAGAATATATATATATATATATATGTGTGTGTGTATATATTTCTCATTTTTTATTTATTAATAGGTTATCCATAAATAGATGCTCATATGGATATTTAACTAAAATTTCTTATGATACATATTTCGATGTTTAACCATTTATTTTTATATTCATATATAAAAAAAGCATTCATATTGTGATATAATTTATTCTGTTAAAAATTTTATGGCAGTATTTATTGTTATTATTATTATTATTTTATTTTTTTTTTTTTGTTTAAATTTTTAAAAAGAATACATTCCATTTTTTGCCATTATTACATGAATTCTTTTTTTTTTTTTTTTTTTGTTATTCCGAATCCCATTTGTGATGTACTATTATTATCCGTTTTTTTTTTTTTTTTTTTTTTTTTTTTTTTTTTTTTATTATTTTTTTGTTTTTGTTTCATAATATATGCTTTTTTTTTGTTTTTAAGTTCATCAAAAAAAATATCTTCTAATTTAAAAAAAAAAAAAAAAAAAATTTTAGATAACTGCATGTTTAAATAGGATAATGTTGTATGTCTCATGAAATAATAAACAAAAAAAAAATAATCATTATATATATATATATATATATATATAATATATAATGTATAAGTATAACAGAAAAAAGAAAAAAAAAAATATATAATTTAATGTATAACGTTTATATATAACCATTTTTCACTTATTTAAAATAAATAATTTATGATATA